GCTCGCCTTGTTGGGAAGATCTAAACTTAGATCCCAAAATGCAACGCGTTTCTCTGAACTGACGATCCATTCTCAGAAGAAACGAGTAACCGAATTCGCTGAACTTCAATATAACAGCACACGGAAATAACCTTCTACGCATGCAGTTTATGAAGATGCACACACAATGTGAGTGGCAGGAATCTCACATGTCAGCCCTCCCTACACACGTACACACTGAAAGTGCGTTTTTCTGTATGTAATAGCCCGGTAGGGTACTTGGTTAAGGCACTATGCTACAAGCTGGAAGGTCGCAGGATCCAATCCCGATGAGGTGGATTTTTTTTTGCCTAATCCTTCCAGCCGCATTATGCCCCTGGGGTCGTCTCAGCCTCTAACAGAAATGGGTACCAGGAATCTTCATGGGGGTAAAGGGAAGCCGGCGCGTAAGGCTGACCTCACCGCCATCTGTGAGCCGATTGTCTAGAAAATGTGGGAGCCTCGACGTCTCACAACTTTATGGGCCTCCATGGCCTGTTACAGGGATAGCTTTAATTACTTATTTTACGATGCTATTAGCTGCCAGGCGATACAGCGCTGATTCACAGAAAGAGTGATGAACTGGAAGGGGCTCGGAAGGAAGCGATGGTGAGCTAATGGAGGTACTCTGTCAGGATAGACAGCGTCCAGTCCAAGATTCAAACCAAGGTGCACCCGATTACGAGTCAAGACCGTTACCGCTATGACAACCTACTCGTTCTGCACTTTGTTAGTTCTCTCTCTTAGGTCCAAATATCATTAAAAAAGGTCAAGGTAAAGCTGACCCTGTAACAGGCCGTGGAGGCCCATAGGGTTGTGAGACGTCGCGGCTCCCACATTTTCTCTAGGCAGTCGGCTCACAGATGTCGGTAAGGTTGTTAGCCTTAAGCGTCGGCCGCCCTTTATCCCCAGGACACCCGTATGGAAGCAGGGTCGAATACCTCCACCGTGACCCTGCGAGTCGTAGGAGGCGACGAAAAGGGAAGTCTCAAGTCTGAGACAGTAAAATATGGTCGCGAGTACCAAGGATCTCGGACTCGAGAAAGACTGCGCTGGCAAGGGCCAGCAGCATATATAAAAGCCAGACCCGTCCTTTCGTCAGAGAGGGTGCCCCTCAAAAACAACACCGTAAATGTCAAACAGTAATAAATATCTCGTCATGAGCCCCAGATAGGGCTCGACACCAAGACTTACTGACTGACCGACCGTCAGTCGCAATGTGACTTTGACTATCCCTAGGAAGATTCTTGGTACTCATTTCTGTTAGTGGCTGAGTCGACCCCAGGGCCATAGTGTGGCTGGAAGGATTAGGTAAATTGAAAAAATTCACCTCATTCGGACTCGACCCCGCGACCTTCCGGCTTGTAGCATAGTTCCTCAACCAACTACGCTACCGCGCACCCCCCCCCCC